CTCGCTGCCCCAGGCTCGGCTCAGGCTGGCCCCACTCGCTCTTCAGTTGAGGCTTTCAGCCCTCAAGATAGTTGTTTCTTCAGCTGGGGCACCGGAGCACTGGCCGGACTGCGCTCAGGCAGCGCTGCAGCAAGGTGATGCTGCAGGGCCCTGCGTCTCGGAGGCAGGCACAGCATAGCTGGGGCCGAGGCTCTCACGAGGGCAGGGAGAGCCTCCATCAGGGGCTGCCCAGCCACGTCCTCTCTTCATCCTTGTGCTTATCCCAGGTCCTGGGCACGTGCAGATCCTCTGGCCAGTGCAGGATGCTGCGCGGAGGCCTCCCAAGCCAGGTATGGTGCTGCAGGGGATCACACACTGTTTGGGGCGTGCCAGGGGCAGCGGTGCTTGTGGTGCTGCATGCGCAGCCAGGCAGTGCCTGCCTGGGCAGCAGCGCTGGCAGGGGCTCTGCAGCCTGCAGCAGCAGTGCTGATGGACAAGTCATGAGTGGGTTTTGCTTTGGAGGTGTGCAAGGCCTTGGCAGTACACAGTGTTTCTCCTCACAGCAGTGGTGCTGCAGGAGGGTTAGAGGGGTATAAGGAATGTGAGCTGTGGAAAAACAGGAGGCAGGGAGAGGAGGCAAGTTGGCTGGTCCATGGAAGACTGGGTGGGAACCCCCTGCCGAGCTTGGCAGTTGGAGGTCGAGGCCAGCCAAGCCTTCAGGGGAGCCTAGGGGCACGAGCTTGGCCCTGGCTAAGGAACGTGCAGTTTGGTCCAGTCTTGCATTTAGCACCTCTCACTTCTTCCGATTCATGATCTGACTGGAAATCCAGTTCATCCCATCCTGGAAGGGAGAGAGGCGCGTGGGAGCGTAGCCCTAAGGGCATCGCAGGCCCTTAGCCCCTCTTGCCCCTCCGCAGCCCCTTGCCCCTCTACCTGCACTCCTTCCCCCGACAGGGCCGAGCAGGGCTGGATCTGCCATTCGCGGTCGCGGTAGGTGTGCAGGCTGAGCCCTTCCGCGATCTCGGCCGCAGGGGCTGCAGTCACCAGGTCCTGCTTGTTGGCAAACACCAGCAGCGGGACGCCCAGGAGAGACTCCTCCCCAGTGAGCTCCGCCAGCTCCTGCCAAGAGACATCTCCCAGGAGAGCTGCCACTGCAGCCTCCTCTGCGCAGCTGCCTGAGCCCCTGCCGAGCTGGCCGGGGGTGGGATGGAGCAGCTCACATGAGCAGAGCGTCTCCTTCCCGTGGCTGTGCCCAAAGAAGCTGTGAGGTCTTGTCTGCCACATATCCCAGAGGAGACACACGTGTCCCTGCAGCTACCTCTGCCTCAAACAGAACCTGGGAGCTGCATCCAAGCATCCAGGTAAAACTCCCAGCGCCAGGACAGTCTGGCCCTCGCAGGCCCTGCTGTCATCCCATGCTCTCTGGCCGCCCATGCCACCGTGCCAGGCAGCATCTCATGTTGGTGCAGCCTAGACTGGCATGCAGGGTCTCACTTTTCTCTCTGGTCTCTTTTCCAGGCTTTTTGAACTCTGAAGTCACTACTTGAGCTCCAAAGAATAAATCTTTGCTTTGTCATGTTATCAACCTGATGCTAGGGACATGAACTTGGGAGGACAGGGGCAAATGGGGGTCGGTCACACTCACGTGCTGTCCCTGGGGAGAGGCAGGGTGTGGGGGGGCGTCTCAGTTGCTGCTCTTAGAGAGGAGTTTGGGGGGCCTTGGGACAGGCAGAGTTGTCCCTTCCCCAGGGCTCACCCAGCTCGGGTGAGCCCCAGGGCTCTGCTGCCCTGCGCCTGGCCCCTCATACCTGCCCCGTCTCCTCGAAGCGCTTCTGGTCTGCACTGTCAATGACATAAATCTGCCGTGGGGACAAAGAGGACAGTGAGCGCCCGGCTGCCGGCTCCCCCTGCCACCCGCAGGCAGCGCGCACGGTGCTCACCAGCAGGTCCGTGTTGCCCAGGTACTTCCTCCAGTACGGGCGGATGGAGCGCTGCCCCCCGATGTCCCAGACGTTCAGCTTGAAGCCATGTGACTGGACGCTCTTGATGTTGAAGCCCTGCGCGGGGCGGCAAAGCCGAGCGTCCCGTGCAGGGAAGGCTGGAGGCAGCGCCCGCGCGCCCCGTGTTGCCGGAGCAGCCCCTACCTGGGTGGGCGTGATGGTGCTGACCTCCTCGGACGCCAGGCGCTTCAGCAGCGTCGTCTTCCCGGCGTTGTCCAGCCCCAGCAGGACGATGCGGAGCTCCTGCTCCCGGGAGCCCTTGAGCCTCCGGATGACTGAGAGCAGCCCCGGGGGCCGAGGGCC